AGCTTTCTGACATAATTCTCTAATTAATGCCATTTGGGCATGATTTCTAAGACTGAGGACTCAGGAATTGAGCAAACAACCCTGAACGTCTTCTGAGTTTGTGCTTTCATGGCAGGGACAGCAAACACTGCTTACAAGACATCTATCTCCGGCTCCAAACAGTAAGAGAAGACAGGGAAAAGTAACCTGTCCTATCTTTAATGTGTTAAGGCAAACATTAACACATGAGCAAGTTTCACAAATGCCAGACCCTAACAGTTAAGATGTCAAATTTACTTGAACATTCTAAATTACTCCTAATTCATCAAGAGAGGTCTATCCCCATTGCTGGATTTGAGACAGACTCTTATTCTTAGCCTAGGATGGCCTGGAACTTACTAGCTCAGGGTAGCCTTGAACTTAACAGCCATCATCCTATCTCGGCCTTCTGAGTGCTGGGACTACAGGTGTGATCCACTCTCCTCAGTTATTGTTAACTGTTTTTGAATTATATAACTAAAGATTTTACTTAGCTAGTAAACACTTCTTCATGCAAAACCTAAAATGACTGTATCTTTTCCAGGGAACCACAGAAAATAAGCTAAACCCCATAAAAGCTACCACACACATCTCTGATATTTTGTGTAGAGCATCCTAGCAATCTTTACATCCCTAGACTTGTGATATTCCTTTGCAGATCTTCCAACTCCAACAGTACAACATACGCATGTGTGGCACCTATACATTTAGCATTTAATAAGTTAACGACATCATCTCTAATTGTTGATGTTAAGATCTTATTAAATATATGTATTCTTTAAGAATATCTAATTACTCCCATATCAAAGTTTATTTAAAATGGGTTTATGGTGATCTCTGGTAATCAGTAATATTACTGTAATAATCAGTAATAAAAGCTTCCAACATATTTCTAATTCTAACATTAGAGAATTTTATTCCACTTACAATAAAAAAAAAACCCACAGTGCCACATACACATTTTAGAAGCCACAAGACTACATTCTTTTAGCAATAATCTTACTGAAAAAAATTTAAGCAAGAGTAAAACACAATATATACAAAGGAATACAACACATCTTATTTACAACAGGGGCGAGGGGAATCAAAGAACTCACGTATGGCAGGGAAGCCAGACTATTAACTATATCTTAACGCTATAAAAAGAACCAAGAGTTTGGTACATTAAGGAACCAAGAGATCAAAAATGTTCTAGATACAATAATAAAGACAGGTAATATATAAAAAGGCCAGTGGTTTTGTTAGCGATTTCTTCTTTTCCTTCTTGAAAATTTTCTCTGAAATTATGGGTGCATATTTTTAAATTAAAATGGAAAACAGAAAGCTATTTCCATTCCAACTAACCCTAACATATAAAAAGAGAATAACACACATTGCTAAACTTAACTCAGAAGTGCCATTAGCTACATCACATGTGGCACAGAGTGTTAGGATGGAAATACTAAGTCTACTTACATTGTTAGAAAGCTTGCTAAATCTGAAACATGCACTTAGGAACCACAAGATACTATTCTGCTGATCTGAGGGATTTCATGTCATATCTGTTTTAATTATATAACCTCCCCATATTTCTGGAACTGAAGTAGCTATTTTGGTCTGACTAAACTTCTGAAACCCAGAACTGGTGGGCAAAGACTACCAAGGCTTGTCCAACCTGCAGCCCACTAGCCATATGCTAACTATGAATGCAGTCCAAAAAAAAATCATAAATTTACTTAAAACATCTTTAGAGTTTTGGAGGGTTTTTTTGGCAACTGCATTGCACAATTCTCAAACATCAACCGTGTGGTGATCAAGTTGTGTAGCTAGTTAATTGTTGGCCATATTGAAAGCCACTCCAAATGAAATTAAAAAAAAAAAAAGTCTACATATACCAACCGACTACAGTTGGAACCAGAAAGACCAAAGGCAAAGCATAAATGGAGAAAATCTACAAACCTGTAGGAAAGGAGGGAGGGGTAGAGAAAAACTATATTGGAGTAGTAAATCACTGGCCTATACATGAACTAACAATAAAATAATCCTAACATTCACTGAGTCCAGAATTCCCCATGTTCCTGGGGAGGTCACCTAGGAGTTCATCCTTTTGTTCACTCGCAAAGAGCTGCCCATGCCTTTTGAGTTAAGAACTATTTATCAAAAGTAAAGAAATATGGAAGGCTCCAAATAATCCAATTACTGCATGTTCCCTGATGGCTAAAGAGACCACAATTCAACCTAAGAACTTCTAAGGAAGAAACAGAAAAGGAAGCTCATCATGTCCCTCACTTACCTAGTGAATGACACAGGCCTAAAACAGTGGTTCTCAACCTGTGGGTCACGGCCCCACACAGGGGATGTATCTCAGATATCCTGCAGATCAAGTATCTACATTATGATTCATAACAGTAGCAAAATCACAGACATGAAGTAGTAACAAAATTTCATGGTTGGGGGTCACCACGCCATAAGGAGCTGTATTAAAGGGTCACATCTTTAGGAAGATTGGGAACCACTGACCTAGGACTTAGGTAGAGGCAGAAGGATCAGAAATTCAAGGTTATCCTGAGCTACATAGCAAGTTCAAGGGCAATCTGAGCTACCTGAGTCCCTTTCTCAAAAAACAACCAATCAAGAGAAGCCCTTTGACTACATCTATCATTAGACCAGAGACATCATTAACCTCCAGTATCAACTTGAAAATAGGAAAACTTTGAGATGTGCAGAGGACTGAAATCTGTGTATAAATTTAAACAGTGCACAAACATTATCAGAATAAGGACAATGCAACCTGCTATACATATGTTTACTTCCCGTTTTCTCCATAAGAGAGGCAGAAGAGATAAAACTAAGCAAAACAAGAAGGAAGTGGGGGGAGGACCAAGAACTTCTAAAGAGGATGTACAGATAAAGGAAGAATGGAAAGGTATTAGTAGTTTAAGGATTAAAACATGCTTATTATCTGTGAATTAACAAGAAGACTGGGGTCTACTATCAACCAATCAGCACATCCTGTCCTTTGGTAAAGTTCAATAAAAGACACATTATTATCAGATGGCAAGTGCATTAAAAACCAGAGTCTTTAACTGATTACAGATTTCGTTATGATAAGTCAGGTTGCACCAGGAGCAAAACGTCACCAACTGAGGTTTAGTACAAGCTTTGGAGGGTGTGGGCCTGTTCTGGGTGACATCAGTGGTTAAGTGAGTGACTCTCCTTGCTCTCCCACACCAGCTCTTCCCACACTCGTGTTTACTATCAAGCTCATACTGAAAATAGTCTCTGTTCAGACTGACTTCAACATGCTTGCTTCAGCTTCAGATTTCTTTCAGAAAAAAATTTTCATGCCTTTACCCTATCTCAAGGCCTTGATTCTAATAAACTCACCTTTCCTCTTAAATCAGGTCACGCTTTCCAAAGGCTATCTGTTGATTACAACTAGTTCCTCACTCTAACCATGAGGTATTCCTTTGGTATACTCAGACAATGGTTACATCCAGCATGGTAATTAAGATTTTTTTTTATGGTCAAGGGCTCACAGCCAGGCATACTACTTCATACCTATAATCCCAGTATTAGGGGGCCTGAGGTAGGATTGATTACCCAGAGTTCAAGGCCAGCCTGAGTAACATAGTTGGCTCCTGGTCATCTTGGGCTACAGTGTAGACTCTGTCTTAAAAACAAAAATAAATAAATAAATAAATAAATAAATAAATAAATAATAAGATTTCTCCTAATTAGGTGTGGGCCTCTGAATGAGAAATGTTCCCCATAGGCTGCTAACGGTACTATTTGGGGAGGTTAACCTTTTAAGAGGTGAAACCTTGCTAGAGAAGTATGTCACTGAGGCCAGACTTGAGAGTTTATTACATCAGTCCACCTATAGCTAATTCCCCAGCTTCATGTAAATGAAGACACAGCTTGCTGCTCCAACTGCCCACCAGCATGCCTTCTCCACCATTATGGGCTCTCCCTCTCAAACTGTCAACCAAAATAAACTCTTCCTTCCATCAGTCAGTTCTGGGCATGCTGTTTTATCACAGTAACAAAAATAACCAACTCTCTAGACAAAGCCGTGTAGGGGATCCGTAATCGTAGCATCCTGGAGACTGAGGCAGAAGGATCAATAGGAGTTCAACATGAACAATGAATTCAAGTGAGTTCCAGCCTCAGTTACATGGAGAGACCACGTCTCAAAAAACAAAAGGACAACAACCAAAACCATAAAGCAAGGTAACAAGACAAAACTGTTCCACCAAGTATATGACAAAACTTGTCTCATGCTTAGTTTAAAAATAACCATTTAACCCAGCATTTTAACGTTTGTGTGTGTGTGTGTGTTAATGCCATATATTCTGTATTTTTGGAAAACATGGCTCATAAATTGTGTTAATGAAGATTCTTAAAAATCATGTATGCTTTTAACAATTCTCTTCCATTAATTGATTTGTATTATTGATCCATTTGTTAAGTTAAAAAGGGTTCCCCTCTTATTTGATCTGGCTATCTCATTTAATCTTTCAGGTCTCAGCTATTCCTTCTTCTAGAGCTCTTCCCTAAATGCAGGTCACACATCTAGTTACACTCTCCCACCAGCACAACGCATGTCCACTAGTAAACTCTCAAGCATATTATGTTATATGCTTATGCGCTCATCTGTCAGTGACTGACAAAAATAGACACTAAAATAATTTGCTTAGGAATGAGGTCACAAGTAAAGTCAGAATAACCACAAAGGGGTAGAGAACTCAATCCTTCAGATTAGGCTGCTGCAGTAAATAAAGGTTGGGATGGGAGAGGGGGGAATTCAGGAGAGCCATTAGTGGGAAACTCCATGAATAAATACACCTCCTTATGAAGAAAAGAGGCAATGCAAAAGACTGTATGCTGATTCGTACTGATCTACTTACTCCTACAAAGTCTACAGTTGGCTTACAATTTAGAACAACTGAAATTAAAAAAGTACACATCTTACTTTGATTCATCATCTGGGTAGGTCTCACCTGTCATGGGGTCAAACAGCTGATTAGCTTCTAAGTCAGTGAAAGTGCTGCAGCAGACAGGACATTTGAAGGAAGCCCGATTGGTGGAATTTCTCTCATCCGTTTCAATCCTCCTTCTCATGTGGTCCAGCTTATACTTCACTACGTTGACAAGAGTACGGTAATTGATGAAGTAGTAGTTATGGCGGGTCGTCTTCCCATCTGCCGCAGTTTCTACCCTCATTCTGCATTTGATGAACTTGTCTCCCTTTAAGTTATTCAGAACGGATCGAAGCTGCTTCCTATCAAACTTGAGCAGCTCCAGCATGTCCTCCTCTTTGACACAGGGGTTCCGGATCAAGATGTCCAAGGCCAGCACATGCTCAATGCCATAAAAGCCCCGGATGACATACTTGGCTAACCGCTTCAGTGCTGCTGGAACTTCAGTGAGAACATCTGGGTCTGCCATCTTCAAAAGCAGGCTTCAATTTCAACTACATTGGATTGAGGGGAGGGGGATTAGTAGGCATGAGGACATAATAATCATTTTAAATCTACAACAGCCTCTTACTGTCATTATTTTTAAAGTGTCACTAAAGCATTCAAACATCACTTTAAAGGACTTCTAACACGTAAGCATTTAACAGAAATTCAGGATTTTCCTCTATAGTACACAAAAGATTATACCTAAAATGCTTGACATAGTTATTTTAAGGTTCAACAAAGTGCTTGATTCCAAAAAAATCTATTATTTCTGACAATAATATAGTACATCAACCCCAGTTTATTTCACAAAGAGAAACAAAGAAAGCTCTGAGAGCATTCACTGTTCTTAATAGCATGCTCTCTAGAAACAGCTAGAAATCTAGAGGATCCTAGCAATTACCCTAGACTTCCATTTCTTTTCTTTTCAGTAAAACTTTCCTGCTAAGATTCAAGAATGTTTTATATACTCACACTTTCACAATAATCACACACACACACACACACACCACAAATCAATAAACACATAAGTAACTGCCAGCCAGTAGAGGTGTCTGACAAAATTAAGGACTGTCGTAACTGAAAGAAATTAATGCTGAGATCAAAGTGCATTACTTTTAAGTTATATCTGATTATTAAGTAAGTGCCTTCTATATCTTAAAAAATGATGGGAGGGAGATGAAGAAATAAGACACCCTTAAACAGTAGGTCCCTTGAAGAGCATAGCAGAAGCTGACTGCATCTAAGGTCTAGGCCACAGGCCAGAGCTGCCTCTCCAAGTCTCTCCCATGGCACAGCACTTAGGTCTGAGTCAGATAGGCTGAGTCTGGGTTGCTGTAGGAGCCTGACCAAATCCTTAAATAAGTTCAAGCCACGCCTTACTCTCAGAAGGAAAATGGTCTGCTGTGATTAATGAAAATGTTCAGTGGGGGCCCAAGAGGACTTATTAACTAGGCTAGCTTTCATGTAACTTCAATATGACCCAAACTGAAACTGGCCAGCCTATCCACACAGACTATACTTCAGATTTCTGCAAGATATATGAAAAATTTTAATAGACATCCCACTGAACTATTTCTAAGAACAGGCATATTGTTATTACTAACTTTGAAGTAACCAACCATATCAGATTTAATGCTTCATTCTGTAAGAAATGTTAAAATATCTGCAGTATATCCTAAATAACCAGTGTATACATGTATGTTATAAGGTCATACCTACAATAAAGGAAAAATAAAAAGAAAGTTAGTTACAGCATATATTTTAAACTACAGTACTCAGGCAGAGCATTATAGTTACAGTTCTGTAGTACTGCAGATACACACCGAGATAACAAGGCAACATCTGGATTTACTAGTCTAAAACTGGCAACCCCAGAGCCTTTGTCACCCTAGATGTTTAAGTATGTCTGGGTTCACTGCCACATCGGAATCCCAGCACAGTACCAGATACACTCTGATCCCCTTTCTAATCTTGTCTACACAATGTGCTTAGAACCACATTTTGCTTTCTGCATGCTCAGCAACTGGAGAATAAAACATAATGGCTTCAGAAACATGCAAAAGACAAGAAGGCAGACGAACGAATGCCAGGATAGCCTTCTGCTTTCTGTTTTTCTTTCCATTGCTTTACTATCCTCTGTCCCACCCTCAGACACTGTATGGTCCAGACCATTGGTTCTCAACCCTGACTGTAGTAGAGCAATCATCTAGGCAGCATTTTTAAGGTTACTAACACTGGGCTCCATTCCCAAGAGTTCTGTTTCAGCTACTATAGAAGGACCAGATTAGGAATTCTACTACCTTTTAAATCCCTTTAGATTAGTCTTATGTGCAGCAATCCCTGATCATTGCTCCAATCTGTCCCATGGCCATGACCATTCTGTATCCTACGAATGCACATCCTGCATGCACATCCCGATACTTGTTGTTCAGCCTATTTCCTGTCTGATACTCCTCCGGGTGTCCTGAAGATCAGTACAAAGGAACAATATCAAGACTCTGCCAGCCAATAGTTTGAAGCTTGAAAATCCCAGGTCAGTTTCTTGATGTTAGCCCCAGAAAATCCACAGCCTCGGTTTTTTCACATATAAAATAATTAAAGAGCCTTTCTCACACAGTTAATGTATGAATTAAATCAGATAATTAACACAACACATTCTGCTTCTGGGCTGGCATATGAATTCAACTGAAGTACTGGCATTCAGAACACACTCACCCATCTAACTGACATTTATGCCAATAACCTGAAATATCTGAAAGTGGTGGCACTGTGGTTGTATCAGGAGCCGTGGACATAAAACCTAAATTTAGGAAGAAAGGGAGGGATGGCGAGGAGAAGATAAATGAAATTTGTTACAGAAACAAAATCCAAAGGTTCCAAGAATATGCTGGGGTGGGGGAGAGATCACAAGTGCCTGTGTTGGACCATTGTTAAGGAGGAAACATGCACGAGAAATAGAAACCATATAAAGAGGACTAACTCTTATAGACCCAAGGCGGGGCCATCCACTTTCAGAAGCCTGTCTTGGATGAAATACATTCCTTTGAAGACTTATACAAGGCAGCTACAGAAACTGGAGCTCAGGTGGGCTACCTAGCTCAAAACTCTCAAATGTTAACTTGACCAGGGCCTTTGGTCCTTCACCACATCCCAGTCAAGATGAGTCAGGAGTATACAATCTCTGGATTTCTTAAAAAGCTCCTTAAATCAAGTTCTGAAACTGACAGCCCATACGGAGAGTTTTCAACACTTTATGAATTGGTTGTCAACATTTAAAAATCTTGGGTGCCTATAAATCCCAACTTCCCACTACACTCCTCTTGTAGATTGGAAGTAAATGACAAAAGTGAGCCCACTTTCCTACATCAGCTAGTCTCTGTGGCAGGTGACACTTAAGAAACTAACTTCTCTGTTTATGGAGGCTTCCTGGTATGGTAGTTAGTGGTCTTCATTATTTTCTCTTCACAGTAATCAGGCTTCTCCTTACCCAGTTCAGACCTAGATTCTAATTGTAAAAACATTTAAGGACTACTGTGCCCCTGGTGTGGAACTGGGAGAATCAAAAGTTCAAATCACTGCTTTTAGCAAAGTCATCGTCATATCCACTCAAAAGGAAGACCAAACCTTCCTCTTACCGTCCTTAGGCTTTGGGTAATGTTTCCTGGCCTTCCCAAATCCCCAACAGTGGCATCTAATGCTCTCCCTCACATTTCCTCAAAATCTGTAGTTTCTACCTGTAAGGCTGGGGACTTCATCTTGTTCATCAATGCTAGTGCCTAGCATAAGCTACTCAGACACTTAAATCGAACTTTCAATACATCCTCTGGGCACGTGTTCTTGTAGCATATCCATCCTGCCAGCTTCCACACAAATCACTTGTTCCACACCTGCATCCCAATAATGAGAGCTATAAGCCATCCCTTTTTCTTTTTTAATTTAACTTGTAATTGCTTAAAGCAAGTAGTTACTAGATTAAACTTGTGATTTCTGAAAAAAAAAAACTATGCTGGATGAAAAATAAGGGATAAAAGAACAAAGTGGGTGCAGGAAGGAAGCCCTTTCGGTTAGACTATTTTAAAAATACTACTTCCCAAGTTCTAGAAGAACGTGGAGTCTACAGAGCCTCTACAGTTTTCTGTTACTGCATTTTACGATCTCTCCATCCCGTCGTCCTTTAAGGAGCCCACGACGGAGACAGTTCCAGACCGAGGTGGCCTCCACCAGCTGTGTTCAGACGTGTCCAGACCCCGAGACCCCACAGTCCCTCAGACGTGCCCAGGGGCTTCCCGGGACACACTCGACGCCTCCAAGCCCGTCCTACCCGAGGTCGCACACGGGCCGCTCCGGGGCAATGGTTCTTTGGAAGACTAAGAAGAGGACCAAAGCAAGAGGTGGCCGAGAAGAGGGGACTAGATAAGGAGGGGGGCGGATAGGAGAAACCATGAAATATGCCACGCCGGGTCAGAAACCGGGAACAAGGACCGAGGAACGAGGTTTACCCAAGTGGATGCTCGAACACTCCCACTACAGCAGCCCTCAGCACCTCAACTACCGGCTTCAGCTAGCCCACGCCACTTGCGAGACAAGGACGAACGCCTAATTCCTGCGACCAGTTTGGAAACCGCCCGTTAATCCGCACCGCGAAGCTTTCGATCAGTCACGCTCTGACCGACCAATGAGATGATAGGCCCTGCCCACAAGCCCTGCTCCGATTGGTGAGAATCCAGGAACGGGCGTCAACCTCAAGGAAATCGTGGCAAGATGGCGTCCCTGGATCGGGTGAAGGTTCTGGTGTTGGGAGACTCAGGTGAGCCGCTTAACCCACGTCTGGGACTACCGACACGCCCGAGCTTCCAGATACCCCTCACATTTCGCAGTTTTACCCCCAGCTTCCTAGCGCTTGGGTCCACGGCTGAAATCCCTTTCAAGACCTTAAAACTACACTTCCCAGAGGACTTTGCTCTCTTGTCGACGTGGTGGCGTGGCGGGAGGTGGGGGGCGCAGAGCCCGGGTCTTTCTCTGCCTTTCCATTTCGTTACCTTGGTCTCCCAGGCGACCCCAGCCTAGAGTATACTGTTAATTCCTTTATTGCTCTTGTTAAGCAAACAGAATTTGGTCAGATCACGCCTTCAGGAAACTGTGTTCATTAAGTCAAATGTACACTAAGAATACACTGACATGTATTAACTCCTTTAATTCTAAAACCAGACTTTTAACTCCATTCTACAGATGATAAAAAATGAGGCGAACTGGTTCGAACCCACATTCGTAAGCTGTAGCATGCAATGAAATAGTAGATGGTAGTCATGTTTCCCCTTTAACTTCCTTGTTCCCACCTAATAGTTGAATACCTATCTTGAGACGCACGGAATAAAGAAATTTGATAAGGGCCACACTCTGAAGCAGCTTAATGCTGAGCACAGTTTTAATTTTATTGTTAAAAAAATTTTTATACCTTGAACGTTTTATAACTTCTATTGAGGTCTTTCTCCTGCCTCATTATCCTTCTCTATCCATTTCCACCTCTTAAGAACTTGAATGAGCCGGACAGTGGTGGCGCACGCCTTTAATCCCAGCACTTGGGAGGCAGAGGCAGGTGGATTTCTGAGTTCGAGGCCAGCCTGGTCTACAGAGTGAGTTCCAGGACAGCCAGAGCTACACAGAGAAACCCAGTCTTGAAAAAAAAACAAAAACAAAAAAAATTTAAAAAAGTAAAAAAGAACTTGAAAGTACACTGCCCATGCATTTTACAGATACGCTTTTCTGGGAAGGACCTCTTGTGCTCCGTACATTTTGCTGAGTGATAAGAAGTAGAGAAAACACGCCCTCAATAGCTGACCTATTTAATTCTAAAGACTGAAAGCAGTCTTAACTTCCCCAAATTCTTTTAACATTTCACCCCTTTTGTTCTTTTGTACTTTGTTTATTTTTGACATTACAATTTAGTTAGAACGTTTCTCCCTACACTTTCTTTCCTCCAAACCTTCTACCTCTCCCCACTTTCCTTCGAATTTATAGTCTCTTTATTAACTGTTATTGCATGCAAACATGCACTTACATATATATATTCTTATATATAATCTGTTAAGTCTATATAATGCTACTTGTATATATGTTTTGAGGTCTTACTGTTAGCACTGGGCAACCGACTAGTGAGTTCTTCCCTGGGGAGGACCACCTCTCCCACGCCTAGCTTTACTCAGTTGTCTGTAGTTCTCTATGTAAGATTGAGGCCTTGTGTGGTTTTTCCCAGTATGATGTGGTCGTTGGTGTCATCCTTGGTCAGGTTGTGTTTGGGCAGTCATGTTAAGACTTCATGGGTGTAGCTTCATGGGTATTGCTAGGGGATACAGTTTCACAGCAAACCCCTGCTCCTCTGGCTCTTAGAGTCTTTTCACCCTCTCTTCTGTAATGTTCCCTACACCTTAGGTGTATGGGTGTTTGTAGATGTAGCCACTGGGACTGGGCTCCACAACTCTGCATTTTGATTGGTTGTAGTTTTTTGTAGTGGTTTCTGTCTGTTGGAAAGTGAAGTGTCCTTGCTGAGGGATGAAGACTACACTTAGCTGTGGGTGTGAGGGTTACTAACTTTTCAAAATTCTCAAGGACATGAATAGTTAACAACTTGCTCTTCCCTGGTATGTCATCTGTTCTTACGGTTGAGAGCTCCATTTCATTTTGGCTTACACACTCAAAAAATTGAACTAATGGACAGCTAAATAGCCTAATACTACTACCTAGAGATGCTTATCCTAATACAGTTAAGCTAACTTTGGGGTCAAGCATGTATCAAGCTGAGAACTAAATCCCTAGGTTTGCCTCCAACATAAACCTATATGTAAACACAAAAATCAACATACTCTATTATACTTTTCTCTATTATATATAATATTTTATACTCTAAAGACTGTAGATGAAAGGCACTATGTAGTACTAAGTATAATGACGAACTGATTTTGAGTGCCTTAAAATCTTACAGTCTATATGTTAAAGATTGTAATGGAAACCTGAGAAAATGTTTGCTTCAATTAAGTGAGATGTTTAGTATCCTTTAATATGTAAAAAGGCTGTAGAGGGCTGGGATGTTTCTCCATAGTAGAGCATCTGCCAAGCACCTGCAAGAACTTGTATTCAATACTCAATAGTATAGTATGACACAAAAGGTCATATAAGTTAATAACACCAAGACCCATTATTAGTTAAATGAGCAGAACACATCATTAGAAAATTCATAAGAATGGGAAGAAACTTGATTTTGCAAAGATTGTAATATATATCATTGTGAATTTTACTTTAAATTACTTTCCACCTGAAAACTGGACCTGAGTCTATTGTACAACAGCAACAGATGCTCACTGAACCATCTGTCCAGCTCTTCCACCACAAGCTCTGTTCCTGGGGAGTGGGGTATGGGGTAAGACATGGTCTCACTAGGTAGTCCTGACTAACATAGGCCTGGCTGTGTATATCAGGCTGATCTAGAACTCACTGTATAAACAAGGCAGGCCTAGAATGAATAGAGATACACCTGCCTCTGCCACTGTATCAGTCAGGGTTCTCTAGAGACACAGAACTTATGGGTAGTCTCTATATAGTAAGGGAATGTGTTGGTGACTTACAGTCTGAAGTCAGTCCAACTCCACAACAATGGTCAGCAGCAACTGTGAATGGAAGTCCAGGGATCTAACAGTTGCTCAGTCCCACAAGGCAAGCAGGCAAAGAAGAAAGAATCTTCTTCTTCTAATGTCCTTATGTAGGTCTCCAGCAGAAGGTGTGGCCCAGATTAAAGGTATGTGCCACATACCCGGATCTAGGACTTGTTTTGTCCCAGGCTGACCTTGAACTCAGAAATCTCCTTGCTTTAGTCTCCTGGGATTCATAGCCACTAGCCTCAAGATCTCCATGCCAAGATCCAGGTCAGAAACTTGTATCTCCCAGCCTCAAGATCTGGACCACAGGTGAGCCTTCTAATTCTGGATTGTAGTTCATTCCAGATATAGTCAAGTTGACAACCAAGAATAGCCACTACAGCCACCAACCTCCTTTTTTAAGACAAGCTCTCCTCTTGACCTGGAGCCCCTAGGCTAAGGCTATCAGGCCAGCAAACATCAGGGATTGCCTCTCTCTGCCTCCCCAGCACTGACATTACAGACATATGCCTCTATGCCTGGCTGCTGGTGTGTCAGTTCTGTGGACACAACTCGGGTTCTCATGCTTGTAGGGCAAGCACTGGGCCCCATGCGGTTCTTTTTGTTTTTAAGTACACTTTGTATATGATCACAATAACAACATGGTCATATGGCTGGCAATAGTGGTCTAAGGTGAGGTTTGTCTTTTATACTTTCTCAGTTGTTGGAAATAGAGTTTTTATAATAAAATGTAAATATGAATAATAGGTTCATATATAACATTACATACAAAGAGATTTCCTAGGTTTTTGATACAATTAACAACAGCCAGTTCAATGAATGAGTGACTCCATACCAGTAAATAAAAGACTCATTATACATGTAAATACATGACTCATCCCTTTCCTTTCCATCTAGCTCTTGAAGAGGCGCCCTTTAGTGTTAGTGAAAAGATTGCCTAGCCCAAGAGATCTAAAAGGAGGTGAAGCACTGCTTCAAAATTAAAAAGCATGATGAAAAAAAGAGAGTAGAATCACCATCATCCAGAGGCTAAGCCTGGGACCATGTGGTTAGCTGCTTTCTTAAGACCTCTATGTAGGCACTAAAGTCCTTTGAGTATGGTACCATGGCATCATGGATCCTATCACTGAAGGTATTCAAACAATTTGTGAGATGTTCCCTGGCTTAGAAGAGGTGGTATAAAATGTCCCATTTGGGGTTACGGGTTACATATTCAGCTGACTAGAGACCTTGTATCTTCACAGGTGTTGGGAAATCTTCACTCGTCCATCTTCTATGCCACAATCAAGTATTAGGAAATCCGTCATGGACTGTGGGCTGCTCAGTGGATATCAGAGTATGTGTTCTTGTTTAGTTTTTCCTTAGTCATACTAAACATAAGTCCTTCAAATCCCGTGATTAAATTATAGGACTTAATTAAAATTAACACTAATAACTGGGATTGATTTAGCTCCTACTGTGTGTCAATACTGTCATTCCTTACTTCATCTTTCTTAATCTGTGAAATCCAAACACAGAAACTCAGTCATAGAGGAGTAAACAACAACCAAATTCATTCAACTCATGAGAAGCTAATGTAACACATGAGCCCAATTGTCTGATTGCATGGGCTTTTATTTTAATCACTAGATTTTGAGTGATAATGTTAATATCTTCCATAAATAATAAAGTTAATATCTTCCATAAATAATTCTGTCTAAACCTGTAACTCTAAGACTGCAAACTTGGGTGTAGTCATACCATGTAAAGGCAAAAGCCTTGTGTAGACTGTTCTGTGTCACAGTTAGGTACTCAGTGCAGTGTCCACTAAATTAAGTCATAATGTCTAATTCTGGGCAAGTCTGTCATCAGTTGACATGTGTTCTTACCATTGAATTAAGAACAAGTGCAGGGCCTTGTTAGAACAACTCAACAGGTCAAGACCCTTGCCATCGAGGCCAAAAAAAACAAGTTCAATTCCCACCAATTCACATGGTGGAAGCAAAGCACTGACTCCAGTGAGTTGTCCTCTGGCCTCCACATGTATGCCCTGGCACATGCATTCCCACAAAGTCACACAGTAAACAAAGAAATGGGAACAAACTAGGAAGAAATGGTAGTTATGGTAATAGCTGTTTTCCTCTGTTCTTTGATGCTGTGGTGTAGGCTCCAACATGTTGATTAAAATTTTTTTATTCAATTAGTTATTATTCCCCTCTTAAGGGAATTTCTTTTCTCTAGCTACTTTTAAGAGGTTGGTTGGTTGGTTGGTTGGTTGGTTGGTTGGTTGGGCTTTTGCTGTTGTTGTTTTTTGGTTTTTGGTTTTGGTTGTTTGTTTTGTTTTGTTTTTGTTTGTTTTTGTTGTTGTTGTTGTTGTTTTGTTGTTTTGTTGTTGGTTTTTTTGTCTACTGTTTTGCAGTAGTGCTAACCTAACCTACAGCTTGGTCTACCTCAGTCTTCTTTCTACTCAGAAGTCCTACTCATATCTTCGTTCCTCAGAGGATGCCCTTTCCTGTCTATTTTCCTCTATCTCTCTCCCTCCCCCTCCCCTTTGTCTTCATTCCCTCCACCCATTCCTATTGATTTTCTAGTTGATTTGTTGTTTTTATCTTTGAACTTCATCTCCATATATCCTTTTTTTTTTCTTTTTTTTTCTCATTGCCTTCTGGAATATGTGTTCACATCTGCTTTCCAGTTGACTAAACATCTCTCAACTGTGCCTAATATAATGTTAATATATACACTTTGTTTTTCAAGTAATATAAATTAAATTCAACTTATTTTTCACAGTCATTTTGTAGTTTCTTTTAGATTACAGGGTTTTTTAGGATGAAGTAAACATCCTATTTGTTATATATGATATTCTACTTTATACAGAAACACATCTTGTATGATTTGTAATTCTTGGAAAATATTCTATCCTTTATAGTTTTTTTTTTTATGTGCATCAATGTTTGCCCAAATGTATGTCTGTATACTACATGTGTGCAGTGCCTACAGAGACCAGAAGAGGATACTAGATCCCCTGGGACTGGAGTTACCATGGAGCTGCCATATGTGGATTCTAAGAGGAGAACCCAGGTCCTCTGAAGGAATACCCAGTGTTCTTAACCAGTAGCCATCTTTCCGGCTCTATGTCCACATTTTTCTAAAAAGAAAAAAAAAACAAATAAACAAAAGAAGCTACACTCCTCTTTATGGAAGCCTTGTATGCTCTTTTGTGCAAGGATCCTTGTTTTGTTTTGTCTTTGTTGCTGCCAGGGCCCTTAGCAATTTCAGTGGCGCTCAGAATTTCTGCCTCAGCATGTCTGTGGCATCTGAGTGTCATGGCTTCCCACACCCAGGCCTGAGGCTTCCATTTCATATCTTTGATCTATTCTGCAGCAGCCCACCCACAATCCCTGATGGGATTCCCTCCTCTGGGGACAGTTCTTATAGCCTCCTTCTCCCCTGACTGAGGAGCTCATCAAGGATTCCCATTTCAAGATGGAAATAGCAGTCCAGTCCATATCACTCACCCACACATCCTTAAAAGCTGGAAAATGAGTCCGCTATTCCTGGACAACAGTGAGACTCCAGGCACTCACTTGAAACTGTCTGTATCTATGTCCGCTCCACAATGTTTCTTCATTTCCAGCATCTAGACATTTCCCTTCCTTTGTCTTTCTCTCTCACTAGTTTATGTTCTCCCTCCCCCTCTTTCCTTCCTCCCTCTCAAAAATATTTTTATAGCATTGTTTGGAGTTTGGAGTAGAAATGGACTATACCATTTTAGCTTACTGTGTTCTTACATTCTTGGCTCTGGGAGAAAACCAGGTTCTAAGCAATGAATTCAAATGCAATTTTGTTTAGGTTTGAGAGACCCAGTGACAGGTTCTGACAACACTTTCTTTAGACTTTACTAACTCCCTTCCTGTGAAAGATCACAGCACATTAAAAAGAAACTTAGATGCTGGACCAATTGCCTTTCTACTTAAAGAGTTACCTTAAACTAATCAATATACCTCCTGGGGCCAACTTATATCATTTATAAGAGAGAAGAAAATTACATCATGCTTAACTTTGGCATAGTTTTCTGCCCCTCCTTTTATCCTAGCCCATCTTTCATCCTGTCCCTACCAAGTAGGTTAATGAGACCACCTTTTGTCTTATGCACTTTCACTCTGTCTTAATAAAGTGGCAAAAATCCAGTACATTTTGTGTGCCTGTAAGAATTATCTGTATTTCATTCCCAATCCCAGGGCAAGTTTTCAGTATACCACATTAAGCACAGAATCTATATATATTATTTGTGGTATTAGGGTGTTTGGTATGCTTTGTGCATACCAAAAAGCACTTTACCACTGAGTTAAATCCTAGCCCAGATGTAGAATTTCTTGTACATATATATTATTTTAAAAGTTTCCTGTACTAGTTTATTGATGAGAGCTTGTATCTTAAATGTTTATTGAATTTTATTTATTCTGTCTTCATGATAATCATTTTTTTCCTGCTTTACTCTATTTCTTGATTTTATATATTAAACACACTTTGCCATCTTGGACTAAATCCAAGCTTTTCTATCTGTCTATCTGTCTGTCTGTCTCTGTCTCTGTCTCTCTGTGTGTCCATGTAGTTCTCTGTGTATCTCTTAGGTTCTTTTATTCATTTATTTTTATTTGTCTAGGGTGTTTTCACTATATTTTATAGCTATGTAGCACATGTTTCAGTGCCTTCAGAGGGCAGAAGAGGGCAAAGCATCAGGAACTGGAGTTACAGCCTGCTGTCATCAGCTCTGTGGGTACTGAGAACCAAATCCAGATCCTTTGGAATAGCAACCAGTGAGCTCTTAACCCCTGAGCCACTTCTTCAGCCCTGTCCTCTCCAAGCTGATCTTGACATACTAGTTTAGAACAGTTTTCTAGTATCTAGGAATCAGTTATCTAGGATGTTTTTTCAGATATTCGCACCTAAATTCATGAGAAGTATTAGCCTATTACTTGACTTTTTCTAATTTCTTTGTGGGGTTTTGATACTGTGCTAACCTGTTCTTCCAAAGAGCTTTATAAGATTCATGTTATTTATCATTTGACTTTACAAATGAAACTAATTGAACCAGTGATATTCTGTGTGGGAAGTTTTTAAGTTCAGCAAGGAAAATGAGAAAATGATTACATTTCTTCCCTTGTCGATCTTGGAGATTTGTGACTGAAAAAGAATTTGTTCATATCAAGCAAATTGCTAAACATTGTTTCTCTGCCTTAGTTGCTTTCAATGAGATAATTATACAACCACTACTGCAAATCCTATAAAATCTATAGGAGAGTTAGTATCTATAACATAGAGAATTTTCTCTTTTTCTTCTTCTTCTTTTTATTCTGGTATAAGTAGTTGATAGCTTTGCTTTTTAAATGTATATTTATATATGGGGGCATATGTAGCATGGCACACATGTGGAGGGCAGAGGACCACTTGCCTGGGATATGGGATCTGGGAATCAGGTTCTCAGAGTTAGAGGCAAGGCAGCCTGAGTTTTATTTTCTTGATCAGTTTTGTCATGGTCTAGCAAAGACAAGTTTCAGTTTTGTTTTCTTTGTGTGCTTTGTGTTTTGTAGGGGGTGGGGGTATATGTGCACATGTGTGTAGGCACCTGTGCAAGGAGGTGTGGGAAGATCAGCACTCACATGTAGAAGCCAGAAGTTAACCTGTGTGTCTGTCATTCCTCAGGAACCATCCATCTTGTCTTTTGAGATAGGGTCTCTCATTGGCCTGGAGTTCACCAAGTGGGCAAGCCTGTCTGGCCAGCAAGCCCCAGGAATCCATCAGTCTCTGCCTACCCTACTCAGGGAATATGAGTGCATGCTATCATACCCAGCTTTGAAAACACAGGCGCTGGGAGAGGGAACTCAGGCCCTCGTGCTTGCCCATCAAGGACGTCACCAGCCGAGCAATCTCTCTCTATCCCTGTTTGTTTTGAATTTCACTGTAGAGCTCACACCTCTTTAGATTTAATTTACTCTCTTTTTCAAGCTCCTCCTTGAAATGAGGAGTTGCTGCATTGATTTCTTTCAAGCTTCTTACAGAGCTTGGAGGCACTGAAACGTCTGTCTAAACAAGTGTCAGCTGCCTCGTTATCACTCAGTTCAAAATATTGTCTAATTTCCATTGTGATTGGCTCATTTGTTATTTGAAATGTGCTTCCTAATTTCCAAACATTTGACAGTGGTGATGATCTTGTAATTGCTGGTTTCTAGTTTACATTCACTGTGCTCGGAGAATATCTACTATATAATTCCATCCTTTAAAGTTGACTGAGATTTCCTTATATCTTGTTTTAGGGTCAGTTTTGTTAATTATTTGTTAAGTAGCTCATCTCTA